TGCCTGGCTTCAGCTCACTCTGTGAAGCCATCAAGGGCAGAGCAGGCCCTTCACATTCTCAGCAGGGGACCTGGCAGAGGGGGAGATGCTAGAGTCAGAGTTCCCGGCCTAAATGCCTAAATAGTCCAGGGACCTGAACGCTTTCTTTGCAAACAATTGAAGGAATGGCTGGCTCTGCCTCTCTCTAAGCAGATAACTTTGGGCAGTCTAGCCCCTCAATAGTGTTCTTCAGGGGGGATGCTGGGAGATAGGATGAAAGATTTTCCCAGTAAACCACACATGGGAAAGGGGTGGAGGGTCAGAATTCACAAATATAGACAGTTCTTGAGTATGGGTACACTGTAGGAATTTCCAGAGATGTTCACCGAAAAGCGAAGGAGTCCTTCCTGTTTGGCTAAGGATAAGGATGCACAACGGCACATGGTAATAGCCTTCTTCACTAAACTTTGTCCTGATGTTGCTTTCCTGTCACTGTCACGTTGTCTATTTTACTTTATTCTCACTTCTGCACATGACAGAAAGCTTGTGAAACTCATCTTTCTGTATCTGGTTTATCTTGCTTAAGGCAGTAACATCTACTGTCCTGAAATGACATGATTTCATTCTGCTTTTTGGCTGGATGAAACATGTATATATGTATGTATGTATTTATGTATGTATGTATGCATTACACACACACACATCACACTTCTTTATCCATCCATCTGTTGACAGATACCCAGGCTTGACTACTGTGACGAGTCTGAGGGCATTTTTATTAATATAAAAATACTAAGCTGGGCATAGTGATGCACACTGTCATGCCAGCAGGAGGATTAAGAGTTCAAAGTCATCTTTGGCTACATAGCAAACTTCAGGAAATATTTTCTTTAAACAAACAAATAATACTATTGTGATAGAAAAAAGAAAAGGGTATTAATTGCAGAATTATTCAGAAAAATATGGCAGTGAGTCAGTAAAGGGAAGATAGAAGTTATCTGTAATATTCCCACACAGGAAGCCCACCCTTCATCATTTTATTTCCTTTTGATAGTTCTTCTATGGCTAAAGTGTTTGTGTGCATACACATACGTGTACATGTGTGTATATGTATTCATATACTCAAGAATAAACTTTGTACTCTCTTCAGTGCATCTCACTAACTGCTAAAGTTGAAGCCATGGGGAGGGAAATGAGATTTTCAGAAATGTGTCTTTTCAAATGGAAAATGTTCTTCCCCTATTATTTAATAAGGAAGCAGTGTGTTTGCTCATCTCATTTTTTTGTGTGTGTGAGCCACAGAACACGCTCAATTCCATCCTTTTCCAAGTCTGTGATATATGTATGCCCTTTCTTTATACTAAGTTTGCTTGCTTGTGTTTTCTGCCTTTTCTCTAGTGGATCATGTTACCTTTGGTGTCAGTTGCATGAAGTGAAACAACCCAACAGGAACCATCTTTAACAGTAGATGAACCCTCCCTCCGTTCCTTCCTGAGACTCGGTCTCATATATTCTAAGCTGTCATTGGACTCACTCTGTGACTGATGATGACCTTGAATGTTTGACCCTCCTGCCTTGGGTGCCGGTTTTCTGGGATGGCCGGGAGTTTCTGCATGTTAGGCAAACACTCTCCCAACTGAGCTGTCTCCCTAGCACCCTATGTGATGGGGACTTTGGTGAACAATTTTTCTTCATTTTCTTCAAATTCCGTTAGTAGAATCATAGGTCTACAGGGTTATATAATGTAATGTGCTTGTAGTTTAATTGTCTTTATCTCTGGAAACATTTTTGAAATTTTTGGGGTTTTTTTTGGGGGGGAGAGGTTGGACCACTGATAGGGCCAGCCTGAGTTACAGAATAAGAAGACACTGTCTCAATAAACAGTTACTTAAAAATAAAATTTAGAGCATTTATAGTTCTTCTATTTAGAAGCATTTAGAAATACTTTTGTTATAAGAAATTCTCAAGTATTTTTCTTAGAAATACCTAAATATTTTTATTATACTATCACCTTTCATGGATGAAAATCCAAGTGTATAACTAGAAGGGAAGAGAAAAACTCCCATCTTTGGCCATGTTGGCTAAAATTAATTTTACTTCAAATGCTGGGGATGTGGACCAAAGTAATTTAGTTTGGGTTGAAGATGAACACAATTAGTTTATAAAGACTATTCCAACCAGATGTCAGGGACTTTGGTAATTGTAATTACAAAAGAAGATAGAAGGAAATAGGGTGTATTCTTATTTCAACTTTGAAACAACGGGTAGCCAATATCGGAGACATTCTGGGATGAGAAAGCTATTGCCTCCTGACTGTAATGTAAGCCAATGTCTGCTCTGCTAGCCTAGAAGCTTTGAGGAAGAATGCAAATAAATAAACTGCCTTGGCTCAACCTTGACTTTCTGGCCAGACATTTTTAGTGAGCCCAGGAGAAAGCATCTCATCACAGCGAAGACAAAATAAGGAAAGTATAAGTATGACTCTTCAGCTTCAGTTTAGGGAGGAGGACAGTCATTGCCGCCTGTGAGATACAGGACAGCGTTTTAGGGACATTGCTCTACAGGTGAGCCTTAGAGAGAAGTGCAAAGAACTTGACAGGTAGCAATGGCTTAAGCACATTGCTAATGCAGGCAGTTAAAGCAGACTCCATCTGTACATGTTGCCAGGTGGACTGAATGTAATCAGCGGGCCCACCTTGCTTCTTTAAACTGCTCAGAGAATCCTCCTCTCTCACAGCTGCATAGAATCCCATGGTGTGAATAAACCACTGTTAAATGGAATGATGTTACCACAGGGAGACTTGGTGAGCTATTTCCAGCATCTTGCATTTACCAGCAACACTGCTATGAAGAACACGACACCTCACTTCTGCTGTGGGAAGTTACAGCCCCCAGGCTAGGTCCCTGGGTGAGGCTTCTAGGTCAGAGAGACAAATGTGTCTCTCTCTCCCGCGGGCGCTCCCCCCCACCCCCAGACAGGGTTTCTCTGTAGAGCCCTGGTTGTCCTGGAACGTGTTGTGTAGATGAGGCTAGCCTCAAACTCAGAGATCCGCCTGCGTCTGCATCCCAAGTTCTGGGGTTAAATTTGTACTTTTTAAAAAGCTTGTGGGATTTTGCATACAGGTAATGAGTAGAAGACAGCTTCATGAACAGATTTGAGTTTTCCTCTTGAATCTTCTTCCTTGCTTTCTCCCTCCCTTCCTTCCTTTTCCGCTTTTTGAGACATGGTTTCTCTGTGTAGCCCTGGCTATTCTGGAATTCTCTCTGTACACCAGGCTGGCCTTGAACTAAGAGATCCACCTGCCTCTGTCTCCCAGGTGCTGGGATTAAAGGCATGAACCACCCCTGCCCAGCCCTTTGGTTTCTTAAATCAGAGCGTAACTGTACAGCTCACGCCGATCTGGACCTGCCCCCCCCCCCCCAAATCCTCCTGCATCCATTTCCCAAATGCTGAGACTGCACACAGCACCACCATGCCCAGCTAACAGGATTTGTCAGAGGGACTGGGTAAGGAATGGTCTCGGGATGCCCAGCACAGATAGTCTGAGAAGATTGAGTATGAAGTTAGGGACTTCTTAAGCTGCAGCAACTGGCACTTGGCAAGGTTAGTAGATGGGAACACAGGGGCCCACTAACATTTTCATTTGTTTGAAATGTTTAATTTAAAAAGTTGACTGTTATTGGGCAAAAAATGTTGTGAATTTGGGGCTGGTGAGATGGCTCAGGAGGCAAAGATGCTTGCCACCAAACCTGATGACCTGAGCAATCCTTGGGACCATGTGTTAGAAGGGGAGGACCCAGCTCCATTTGACTTCCACAGGCCTGCTGTAGCATACACATGTGTGCACATGCACATATGAAATCATGTAGTAATTGTTTAAAGTTTTGTGACTTGTAGCACACATACATCTTTATCATCACCATCTCAGTATAGAATTGTTTCATTGTCCCCAGACTGCCTCTTGACATCCTTTATGGTCACAAAAGATAACCCAAGTCCTCTAACAGTAGCTGATACCCTTCTCAGTCACTGTGGTTTTGTCTTTAGAATTGCCATATAAATAGAACCGTGTTGTATGCAACCCTTGGAGCTTGGTGGCTTGTTCCACTCAGCAGTATTTCCTGGAGATTTTATCCAAGCTGTACCATGCATCAGTAGTTCATTGCTTTTTGATTGCTGAAAAGTGTTCAAGGACATAAATATACCACAGGTTATTAACCCCTCCATTCAGTCAAGAATCTGGGGTATCTCCAGTTTGGGGATTAATACAATCTCTATAAACATTCAAATACCAGCTGTTATAGAAACACAAGTTTCATTTCTCTCCAGTATGGTTTGATTCTTCTATCTTATTATGAGTTAATATTGGAATATTTCCTTTGCTATAACTATCCAGTACCTTACTTATTGGCGCATACATTTCTGCTGTGGTTTTTATTGTGGACAAGTGGATTTAAGGAGCTAATGGGTCATCCAGTTGGTAAAGTTTAATATTCAGTTTTTTTTTTTTAATTCAGTACTAGCATCTTCATACTGTCTGTCAAGAAAGAATGATGCCACATCTGTGAAGACTATGACAATTCTTGTGACGTGAGGTTTATATAACAAAGTAAGATTCAATGACCACAGACTATTACCACTCAGAAAAAAAAAAATCAGAATTTATTCTAAAATACAGAAACACAGCCAGGCGCTGGTGGCGCACACCTTTAATGCCAGTGCTTGGGACACAGAGACAGGCAGATCTCAGTGAGTTCAAGGCCAGCCTGGTCTACAAAGGGAGTTCTAGGACAGCCAGGACTGTTACTCAGAGAAACCCTGTCTTGAAAACAAACAAACAGAAAAACCATAAACTCTCCTGTAAGGAAGTATGTAACACATGGTGGCTTTGTATATCATCTCCTATTTTCACTTCAAATTCTTTGCTTCATATTTCCCCTAAATACATTTGATAAAATAAAACAACGCAAAGATTGTACTTCAAGTGTCACCCAACCATCATTCCTTTCTCTCCTGGCAGGATGTGCTGGGTGGAGTGCTGATCACTGCCCTCCTCATTACCCTCACCTGCCCCGCCTGGACCCTCATCGACTCCCTGGACTCAGCCAGCCCCCTCTTCCCTGTGTGTGTCATCGTCGTGCCGTTCTTCTTGTGCTACAACTACCCCGTGTCAGACTACTACAGCCCAACCAGGGCGGACACCACCACCATCGTGGCTGCTGGGGCTGGAGTCACCCTTGGATTCTGGATCAACCATTTCTTCCAGCTGGTGGCCCAGCCCACCCCATCCTTTCCTGTAATTCGGAGCATCCCGGCCCTCACCAGGGACATGCTGGTTCTGGGTCTGACCAAATTTACAGTGGGAATTGTGTTGATCGTCTTGGTTCGTCAACTCGTACAAAACCTCTCCCTGCAAGTGTTATTCTCCTGGTTCAAGGTGGTGACGAGGAACAAGGAGGCCAGGCGAAGACTGGAGATTGAAGTCCCTTACAAGTTTGTCACCTACACGTCTGTTGGCCTCTGTGCCACGACTTTTGTGCCAATGTTGCACAGGTTTTTGGGGTTGCTCTGAGCCCCAAACAGATGGAAACTAGTCCATGAATGTGGAGAGGCAAAATGTGAGAAACTGTCTGTTGGGGCAATCTCAACCGCGCCTGTTTAAGGATATCTTAAGTCTTATTTTTGTTTTGCTGATGCAACATAGATGCCACTGCTGTGGTGCCAGCAGTGAGACTGGTCTATAAGGACTAGGCTTCCATTGACCCCGGCCTGAAACCACACCTGATGTCTGTTGAGCCACCCCTCCCTTTCTGTTACATGGACTTAGGAGGCCAGTCGTGGGTAGACTGGAATTGTGGCCTGACTTGGAATGGCTACAAGCCCTACTGGGCTCTAGAGAACCAACAGACTTCAGGTAATATGGAGGCAGAATACTTCTTTTCAGGTACAACCTTGCCTAATGCCTAGTCTCATTCCCCAAACTGCAATTCGGTGGCACCATGAAAAATTGCACTCCTTGGGCAGAGTGACATCTTGAGCTTTAATTGGACTGAATTGTGTCTGAATGGATGGTGAGACCATTCTGGAATAAAGTTTCCTGTGAAGAGACTGCAGACAGTAGCAGAGCTAAGAAGCCACCAGGAAGAGCTTGCTTTCTTTAGCAGCCCATCTCCTCCAGGCGGAGGGTGGAACAAGAAGCCAATGATCTTCCTTCCATATAGTTTGCAGCATCCCAGGTTTCAGCACCTGCATCAGTCTGAGCCACACTTGGCGGGCTGCTACCTCCTCACAGGTGGAAAGGAGGACACGCTGGGACTCCTGCTCTCTCCTGCTTGGTCTTCACACCTTCAGTTGTTTAAGCTTCAGTATAAACTCAGAAGGCGCTGGATCAGCATGACAGTGGATGAGCTTCAACTTCTGGAAGCCTGACCAAAAGATGCTAGGCACCTCAAACATTGCCTCATCCTCCTGGTGTTACCTCATCATTGCTCAGCATATATGTATGTATGTAGATATGTATATGTATGTATATACATACATATACATATATATATATACATATATGTGAATATACATATATATTCACCTGCTAGGCAGAATCAGGGACTCCCTCTCAGTCTTCCCACTTCTTTTCTCTTGGCAATTTTAAGGGCCTTAATGTAAGAACAACTTCAGCCTATTTTGGGAAAATAAGCCAATTAAGTCTAATAGTTCGTCTTAATCTAGGGTAGTTTTATGATAACAGCAAAGAGCCCCTTCCCTGGACTCCTCTTCAGAATAACGATCAGGATGGTTACCAACCCATCCTGAAAAGTTGGTGCGAATGCATAGTTACTGATCCTTTGATGGATGGTGCCACTGAATCCAGTGTTTCATGATCCTAACACCTCATCACTATCCACGCATACTGGACAAAATTAACCCCCCTTAAAAGTTATGGAGACTCAGGCTTTTGCACTCAGTGTGAAAACCAAGACCAATATTTTCTCTGATTTTAAGTATGCCCTGTGGCCTAGGTTGGAATGATGTTCTTTGGTACTGAACAGTATTTTAATTTCTCAAGAATAGTTCTTGAACTGGGCATGGTGGCGAGTGCCTTTAATTCCAGCAGCAGCAGGCAGATCTCTGAGTTTAAGGCCAGCCTGTTACACCACAGATGGATTTCTAGGATAGCCAGGGCTACACAGAGAAACCCTGTCTTGAAAACACAAACATAAAAACAAATGAACAATTCTTAACAAAATGCCCATTTTTAACTTAACAAGTATTCTCTCATTTACCATAGTTAAGAACAAGGATTAATGGAGAAGGGGGGAGGGAGTCAGGAGAAAGAGAAGGGGAGAAGAGATGGGGAGAGGAGGACATGAGGGAGCAGGAAGATTGAGTCAGGGGAAGAATAGAGGAGAGCAAGAAAAGAGATACCATAATAGAGGAAGTCATTATAGGTTTAAAGAGAAATCAGGCACTAGGGAAATGTCCAGAGATCTACAAGGATGACCCCAACAAAGAATCTAAGCAACAGGGGAGAGGCTACCTTAAATGGCCTCCCCCTATAACAAAACCAATGACTACCTTATATGCCATCATAGAGCCTTCATCCAGTAGCTGATGGAAACAGAAGCAGTCACTCACAGCTAAGCACTGAGCTGAATTCCTGCAATCTAGTTGTAGAGAGGGAGGAGTGATGAGCAAAGGGGTTAAGACCTTTTAAGGCTGAAGAAACCCACAGAAACAGCTGACTTGAACAAAGGGAATATCATGGACCCTAAACTGCCAGCTTGGAAACCAGCATAGGATGGAACAAGGCTCCCTGCACATGGGTGACAGTTTGGAGGCCTGGGCAGTCTATGGAGCTAGCATTTATACCTAGTGTACGAATAGACAGTGGAACCCCACTCCCCATAGAGGGATACTCTCTCAGCCTAGACACGTGGGGAAGGCCCTAGGCTCTGCCCCAAATGATGTGACTAACTTTGATGATGCCCCATGGAAGGCCTCATGCTTTCTATGGAGCAGAAGAGGGATAGGGTGCAGGTCGGTGGGAAGCATAGGAGAATGGGAGGGAGAGGGAACTGGGATTGATAAATAAAATAAGATTGTTTCTAATTTAAATTTTAAAAAGTTGAAAAGAAAAAAGAGCAGGAATTAAAATGACCCACCATTTGCCTGGTTTTGCTCTGAGGGTATTTCATTTCCCTGGCTGGGGTGCTGCAAGCCCTGGCTTACAGGTTGTCTTGCCTCTACCAGCTCTCCAGGGCATCCCTGTTGATGAGGTACCCCCACCCAGCTACTAAACTCGAGCTTGTAATACTGGCTGATATTTACACGGGATGATTTGAGTTGGTTTGTCTGAAGCCTAGTGACAAATGGCTCAGCTTCCTTGAGTGTATCTCTGCAAAAGAAGGGCTGTGTCTATTGTCACATCAGTGGGGTGCGGGTAGTTAAGAAGTTTAAATCCCAATAGCGGGGAAGCTGACAACTATATGGGTGGGTGCACTTAAAGCTCTGTTAACATAATTTAGATGGAGGATGGATATATTAGCCACACGACATTAAACAGCGGCCCAAGAATTTGTTGTGAGTGGTCACCCTTTGATGTACTTGATAACCACAAATATAGGGAGAAATTATTTACTGGAGATGCCAAGTTTAGTTTTGGATTCCCACTAGTGTTGGTTTTAAAAGCTTGATCCCGTTTTTTTTTTTTTTTTTTTTTTTTTTTTTTTTTTGCCTTTGTTGATCCCTCTCAGTTCACTTCCTTCACACTCTTCAGAGAAATTTTACCCTTAGTAAACTTTCTTTCAAAACACTTGGATTTCTCTCTCTGGGGAAAGACTGACCCCTGGCGGTTAAGATCCAGTCTTAGTCCAAAGGCCCTCTTGATCTGGGCAACTGTAATCAGAGCAAGAATGTGCCCACTGTAAACCTAGGCCAGGCCAACCTTGACACCAAAGCTTTTAGGAATAGTGACCTCTCTGGGAATGGGAAAGAATGGCACACCCTTTTCCCATCTTGCTTCTACTTCAGGCCAAGTAATCCATCTAGAACCTGCCTTCTAATTCGCTGTCACTTTTGTGTCACATTTGCTCAGACCCGTGCCCTAGCTGAATATGCTGGAAGGAGACATTAGCAAGACCCTTAAACTAATACCCTTTGATGGAAGCCACTAAACCTACTCCACACTGTGCCTGATAAAGGGATTTTCTTGCCCAAATACACAACTCATCTTCCCAGGGTAATCACAGCATGTGGTATTTCAGACCATATGTTTCAGGTTTCTATTTTGGAAGTCTTCAGCTGTCTCGCTTATGCACTGTATGTAAATTTATTCTTTTTAAAATAAATTCTTTTTTGTTTGACTGTGATTGTTAAATGCTTTAAAATCTAATGTTCTGTTTCTGTGGATTTTTTTTTTTTTTCCTTTTTTCAGTCAAGGTCTCATTCTATAACCCAGGTTGGCCTAGCGCTTACTATGTAGTCCCAGCTGGTCTTCATAACACATGCTAATTCTCCGGCCTCGGTCTCCCAGGTGCTGGAATTAGGATGCCATCCACTCTACCCAGGTAGTTTTTTCTTAATTTGGGTGACAAGCAGTAGAATTTTCTGCTGCCAGAACCCATCTGCATGCAAATATTGGTCAACTTCATAGTGGCTACAGATTTGTCAAACAGGAAATAAGTGTGTCATGGCAGTATGCTTATGTCCTAACTCTGTGATAATGAGAGGTCCTTTTACTGTTTGGAGATAGGTGCCACTCTCAGTGTTTGAAAGGAAGTTGTCATAGGCCTTGCTACTGAAATGTTTTCACAGATGACTGCCTCAGTCAGTGGCTGAGACAACTGAGCCATTCCTTTCCTGAGTCAATTCTGCAACAACAAATTCACTACGCATCTTTGCCTGCCTTTAAGCACCTCAGTTTTGTCTTTAAGGTGCTAAACTAAATCATGTTCAAGGACACATGTGAGGCTGCATTTGTGACACATCTGTCACTCACACTTGCTGGGCACCTTAGGGACGTAAAGCTCCAATCGATGCTGTGGAGTCCTCCCAGGTCAGAGAAGTCACAGGCTCAGAGAACTCAAGGTCAAGATCTGTAAGTGTCAAGGTTGTATGGAAAAGACCAGGCCATGGAATAGGGCAGGGCAAGAAAAGGAAGAAAAGAAAGATTATTACAGGAGCCAGACTTAAAGAAGAGACCAGGCTGCCCGAGGAGTGGATGACAAGGTACAAGAAGATACCGTGCCTAGGGACCAGCTGGATGGGGGCACTTCCCCCTGCTCTTACAGGGAAAGCCCAGACCAAGTCACTATGTAAGAATTGGGTGATGGATGTGATGACATCACAGGCTCCATCCTTCTAGCATCCTCATTCAGATATTTCAGTCTGCCTTGTATATCTTCCCCCTACACCCCTGAACCATCCAGATCCCCTTGTTTGTTAAAACAAACCAAACCAAAAGAAGCACCTGTGTGTCCCTTGTGCATAGCACACTTCAGTCTTTGTTCCTCAAAGTACTCCTCAGACACTATAAATTGTCATGCTGTGATCAGACCGGGAACCCTCACTGTCCTCCATCTCTCTGATGATTGGACCCATTTCTCCAGCACACCAGTCACGTGGACCAAGCCAAGCACATTTCATTTTAGACAGCGTCCACTTGCGCTGGTTTTGCTTGTCTGAAGGTGTATGGTGGCATGGATGGCTGACACTTCTTTTTCTACTGCTGGATTTGAAAGTCCCCCCCATGGAACCTATAGCTAGGCCAGCAGGACCCTAGGATCTTCCCATCTCCACCCCCTAGTATTAGGGTCACAGACATATGACATGATGCCCCACTTTTACATGCCTTCTGGGGATTTAAATCCAGGTCCTCTAGCTTTCACAGTAACCACTAAGGCAGTGAGCCATCTGCCCAGCCCTGCTTAGATTGTAAACTTTGACTGTGCTGAAGCTTTGCCGTTTCAAAGTCATATGGTAATTCTTCACTCCTCACCAACATAAGACTTTAATAAATTAGTTTGGGCTTACGATACATCCGTTGTTT